GTAATGTTGTTTTGCTTACTGTTCTTGACAGACTTTGATATCAGGCAGGCAACATTATAAGTTTTTTTAGAGCAGTTTTAGGTTCACAACAAAATTGAAAGAAAATTACAGAGATTTATACCTCTACCCCTATATGTACATAGTCTCCACATCATCAACATTACCCGCCAGATTATATTTGTTATAGTCAGTAAAACTACACCAACATATCATAATCAATTAAAATCTATGGTTTACATTCAGGTTCATTCCTGCTGTTGTACATTCTATGGGTTTAGATATATTTGTAAAGATACGTATCTACCATTTTGGTATGTATGGTCCTTGGTGGGACAGTATTCCGCAGTCCTAAAAATCCTGTGTTTGGCCTATTCACCCTGCTCCCAACCCAGGGTTACTTTTATAATGGAACAAAGGAAAAATGTAAATATGAAAGAAAAGATAAACCTTAGGATTGAAGTTGAAATACAAAATGTATGCCATAAAATCTCTTACCTGGCTAGGAATTTGGCTCTGAGCTTTCTAGTAATGAATTTAAATCAATTTCATGATTCACAGACATCACAGAGACAAAATCAAGCTAACTGTTAGTAAATAGAACAAGGTTTTTTTTTTTTTTTTTAATGAGGTAGTATAATGGTGGTGGTTTAGAGACTATTCTTGGAGCTGGGTTACCTGATTTTCAATCCCTTGTCTATAATTTACTAGTTATATAAATTGTACAGTTGCTTAATCTCTGCATGTTTCAGTTTTCTCACCTGTAAATTAAAGATAATTATGTATCTCTTCATCAAATATTTCACAAATTAAATAAATCAACACAAAGGAAATAGTTTGAAAAGTGATGGATTCTTGGTAGCATTCAATAAATATTAACCTTAATCTTCAATTCTGATACTGAGACCAGAAAGAAAATTTCCCCTTAGATTTCCTTTTTAGAGAATATTGTTTAATGAAAAGGACAACAACCCAACAAAATTCTTTTATGATGATTATCATCAATCATCATCATCATTTTAAGCATGAATAACTTTCATCAGTAATGCTTTTTACAGTTGAGCTTTTGGTAAATTTTAAGGACAGTGAGTCTGAGGTAATACTCCATGAGTAGGACCTGTGACATAGCCATGTACTCTTCCATATTTTTGGAGCATTTTACTAAAGAAGCATAAATAAAAGACCACCTTGACTCCACATGGGCCAAGAAGAGTTTCTCCTTGGGAAGTTTTGGGTGTGTAGCAGTGCTCTCAAGAGTAGTCAATGCCCAATGACTGCATTAATTTTATCTTGGGTAAAATTAAAATCAAATGCTGATTAACTATCACCTTGGTTATGATTTCATTATTATACAGTGTCTACATACCTAAATCAATTAACTTATAAATTAATTGATTACCCTGTATTCCAGTCAAATAACAAATAACACATCTGAGTTTTCTGTGTGTTGCATTGCACTCAAGGACTTCACATATGACTTATTTAACCCTAAGAACAATCACATGAGGCAGATCCTGTTTTCATCCCCATCTTACAAGTGAGCCATTCAACTAGTAAATGACAATGTTAGTGAGACGCCTGCCCAGAAGGATGACTTTGCTTTCGAATAGTTGGCCTGTGCATAGCCGTTCTTTGTGGCAGGAATTTTATAGTTGGCCATGGTATTCCAAAGGATGAGATGATATTATTTGAATGTGAAAGTGTTTTTTCCTTCTGCATTTCATGACAAGGCACATAGCCAGCCCAGCCAACAGTGGCACCAATATACAAAGCAAAAACAACACTGACAACTTTCATGCAATTTCCATCTGATCAGTTATAGATCTTAACTTCCACAGTGGATTAAGGAGCAGGTTCTAAATAATCATCAATAATGAGGTCAATAGTGGATTGATTTTATGATCTCTATGATCAATTCCTGTCTACTGAAATATAGATTAAAAAATCTAAAAGAAGAAAACATACACAATCTTTTGTAACTCTAAAGGGATTTCTTTACAAGTTAATAGAATCTGTCCATGATCAGTAGAGGAATAACTTCCCAAAGGAACCTTATTCCTGCATAACATATTGGCTTGCTAGGCCAAAGCCTTCAATTTATCAGGATGGAAACAGGCATGCTGCCATCTCTAGGGTCTTTTTCTTTAGTAAAAACCTGTGGTTCTCTATAGTTGGATTCTTCAGGCAGAATCCTATCATGTTATGCTATCACAGAAGCATAACATTTAGCTTCAGCCGTCTAATATGAAGCTTCAGTAGCTGTACCAGGTGAGATTAGAACCTGGGGGAATACTTTTTGATTCTCTCGGTTTCTTGGGAGTCATAATTGGGGTAGTCCTGACACAAAAAGGAGCGAGCACTTCCAGTGGTTACTCCCTATATGACTTTCCAGGATCTTACCAAAGATGTCCAAGAAAACGTTCTCCTCCTTGATCTTGTGACATGTATACTGCAGAACTTGGAGGATACCCTACAGTAAGGTGACTGCTTTGGGATCTACTCTTGATAATGCTGATTTGGAAATAGTAAAGATGCCCTTTCAAGAACTATAATGGAATTCACAGTGTGATTTTAGGTGAGTGGTTAAATAGTTGTAGAATTAATAAAGATATATACCAACAGGAACCTGAACACACCCTTCCAAGTAGTCCTTTAATAGTTCTGAGATCAGGAAGTCTCCATAGGTAATTTACAAGGTTAGAGTTACTTTTTACAAATCCCCTGTTCAATACAAAAGAACATTCCTAGACTCAGCAGAGCACTACCTAGACTTTAAGAAAAAAACCTGGAATCTATATAAAACTGGGAAGGCAAGCTTCCTGGCAGTTAACCAGCACCTGCACTTCTAAGACTAATAAGTCCTATCTCTGATAGCGATGTCCTAGAATTTATACTCATTTCTACATTTAATGGTCAAACTCAGCTATTATCATATGAATTAATCATAAAGTATTTTTAATGTAATAAGTTTTGGGGGGTTTTCTTTGTCTTTTGAGGTTCTGGGGAATCAAACCCTGGGCCTTCTACATGTTAGACAAGTGCTCTATCACTGAATTATATCTCCAGCCCAATCATAAGTTGATAAAAAGGCTTCAGTTTGAAAACTCCAAGATAATTCTGAATTTCTTGATGTAAGTTTTATAGATTCATTTATTTCATTTTGCTTTGGTCTACCTGTCTCACAATTATATGTAATAGGAATAAGAAGAGAAAGCCCCGGGTTGGGGTTGTGGCTCAGTGGTACAGCACTTGCCTAACACGTGCAAGGCCCTGGGTTCGATCCTCAGCACCTCGTAAAAAATAAATAAATAAATAAAATAAAGGTATTGTGTTCAACTACAACTAAAAAATAAATATTAAAAAAAGAAGGGAAAGCCCTATGTATGTTGGAAGCCGATGTGGATGAGACTCGTTTTAAGTTATTAGTAACTAATTGAAAAGAGGGAAGCTAAGAAGTTTCTTCCTCCAGGCATTGAAGCAAAGTTTTAGAAGGTCACAGGATGGTAGCAGACCATCAGTAGAACTTGAAAGCTCTTTAACTCAATTCTTTCCCTACATACAGAAGTGCGGACTGACTTCAGGGTGGATAAGTTTAGACTTAAAACTTAGGGAAAGTTGACTCTTTCTAACTGGACCAAAATTTTAACTCCAAGCATAATAATAAGTAGGCCAGAAATAACTTTAATATAGTATTTAATTCTAACTTTGGAGAAGACATATAGTAAAAATTTTCTTAAATTTTCCCCATGAGCCACCATCCAGTATCACCAGATTCTTTTCATTAAGAACTTTAGTAGACTCTCTAAAGAAAGTTTATATCCCAACAGGAATTTAAACCATTCATTCCTAAATTGTATCTGGATGAGTCTCATTATGCTCACTAAAAATCCTGGGTACCCAAGGTCTTAGAAATAAGGAACTCTGCCATAGAATATACAGAATAATTTGAGATTTAAGCAACATCACCAAAAACCATAAAGGAAGCAAAAAAAAAAAAATGGAGATTTTGAAGGAAGGCAGGGTCAACGTGGAAAAATGTCAAGACAAATCATGTACTGCTTCCTCGGGGGTTAATGATGACTGGAAAGAAGGGGTTCTGGCCATGTGAGTAATGGAACTCAACGGCAATGCAGAGTTAAGGGGAAGGAGGATCTCACTCAACCTTACCTTCGAGTATTACAAAAGTATTACTGTATTATTCTCAGTGTATCAGGACAGGAGGGACATGATTCAAGTTGATTTTTTTTAGATGTCTCCAATATGAAGTAATTTTCTCCTTTATAATTAATATTATGTGGAGTGATTATTTTGAGTAATTAGCATGTATTATGTGGAATGATGTTTTTCATATGTATGTATGTGTGTATATATCTTGTTCCTCTTTTCTCATATGACAGTTCTCCAACTTTAAACCACTTATATGGAGAGCCAAGTGATTTAAAATTAAGGTTTCCTGTAAGCAGGCATTAGAAGCCATTCTTCAAAGCCAAAGCATTCAATTTCTTGCCTTTTCCATGCTACTTTGCATCTAGGAAAAGATTCTTAGTCTTAGATCTTATCATGTTCAAAGAAAAGCAACCGAAGACTTAGAGCATATCACAGAGTAAAGCTGTTTCCCCAGGTGACCTGGCTTTTCCTGCATCTAGAAAGTCAAGCTCATCTAGTCCAAGGTGGAGCACCAATTCCTGGAATTATGAGACACTTTACATTTTCTGGGTCAGGTCCTTGGTACCAAGGTGGGGCTCAGTGGTGAGTCATTTATACATACAGTCAAAAAACACCTTTAAGAAGTGTGGTATATGGCTACTGAGGGTTTGGGTGGCCTGAGGGTCTCATCCTCTAGTCAAGAATCAACAGGGAAATCAATTTCTGAAAGTGAGTGTGAGAGATGATACAATGATCCTTAATGAAATCCTGCAAGAGGACCTAAGAGGCAATATGGAACAGAAAGGCTCATTGTCAGTATAGCCAAGTTCTGAAGTTTGACCAATTTGTCCTTCCAGACCCCATCCATTCTGCAACACAGCCTTCCCCTTGAAGAAGCCAGACAATAGATCTGAGATGACCTGCCTTTGCCATCATCCTGTACACTGAGAGGCATTCCAGGGATGACATTGGCCTGTGATCTGGATTGAAACAAGTTTTTCTGATTTCCTGTGTAGACCTGCATTGCCTAATGCAACTGACCAGAGGAGACACAGTTGATCACGTTTTTTAAACAGTTGAAATAGACGCCATTCTGGCTATGATAACTCTCAGAATGAAGACAGCAAGCTCTATAACAGGTTGACTCTCCTTCGATTTACTGAAGAGGGACATGGAACAACCTGGAAAGAAATATGTTACAGGATGACTGGACTGTGGAACCCAGAAAGGAACTCTCCATTATCTTCCTCCGTGAGAAAGAAGTAAAGTGATATGAAGATGAAGCCCACCTAGCTTCTCCTTACCTTCAGACTACCTACCTTTTTATCTGAGTGCCTGCTGTTGGTGGACTTCATTCAAACTCTCCTTTACTGAAATTACCCACTTGTTATCATTCCCCATCACTTCTTTGCCATTTGCATATGTGCTTTCAATCAAACACATTCTCAGAACCATATTGTATGAAAGAACATTCACTCTCCCTTTATGCATGTATGATATATTTATATTTCTATGGATTTACAGATTCTTATCATGGGTTTGCGTGCATTACTGCCATTATTTATATTGAGGCTCAAAATGTTCCAGATTTGTTGAGTAAGATATTGTAGATCTTTATCACCGAAACTTCAGTGTAATCTTCCTAACAATAAAGTTATTCTTTTAAATAATCACAGAATTATCAAAATTAATACATTTAAGATTCATATATTATTGTTTTCTAAACATCAGTCCATGTTAAAATTTTGTCAATTTTCTCAATAAAGTTTTTCATAATCATCTCCCTACCCCCACACAGATTTTAAACTGGGACCTTACATTGCTTTTAGCTGGCATGCCTTTTAAATCTCTCTCAATCTGGAAGTTATTTAGCCTTTTAAAAAATCTTCAATGTTGTTGGCCTATGTGGAAGGATTTATCCAATTATTTTGCTGAAAGTCCTTCAATTTGAGGTAGGTTAATGTTACTGAATGATTAGAGTCAGATTATTTATATTTAGCAGAAATATTCAGTGGTATTATATTCTTAGTGCATATGTCAGAAGGCATGTGGTTTAAGTTGATGTCCTCCAGATATCTTCACTTAAAGTTATTATTTCCCTTTGAAATTGATTAAGAAATTGGTAGAGAGATATTTTGAGGTTAAGTATATATCATTCTCTCATCAAACTTTTACCTACTAGTTGTAGTATTTGTTATTGATTCCAGCCTGAATCAAGTATTATTGTTATCATGATGGATACAAAATGGTGATTTTCTAACTCTACCAATACTTCTTCATTTATTAGTAGGCATTCTACTCTAAGGAAGATTTTCCATCTATTCTATCATTATTTGTTTTTCATTCATATATTTCTGTATGGTTTCATGGGTTCTTCTTTTAGTCAGTGAGTTATAATTTATTACTATCATTATTTAATTTGATAGTCAAAATATCCTAGATTTGGCCAGTGCAAGCCCCTCCTAACTGAGTCTGGTGGTTTTTTTTTTTTTTTTTTTGACATGTCTACATCATTATTTCAGCTTTCTTTTGGATACAATAAGACATTTCAAACTCATTGTGTACTTTTCTTGCCTCAGCTCTGGAAGTAGCCGTTTCTCCAAGGAGTAATTGTTCCTCTTAATGGAGAATGGTATTTAGAATCCCAGCTGTGGACAGCAGAGGTACTTGTTGTTCCCTGAGTTTTATTGCTTTGTCAGCAGACAGAACTAGGCAAGAAATATATGCATCTGAGGGCATATGTGTTTATTATATGATATATATATATATATATATATATATATATATATATATATATATACACACACATACACACACACACATATATACACACACACACATATACATGTACATTTTTATGAGTGCAAATGTAAATATGTGTATACATGTGTGGAGATATATATTTATTTGTGATATATATGTATATATGTATATCTCACAAATTCACATTATACCCCTGATTATATTCCAGATTTGTAGGGCTTATTCTAGGCTTCCCCTTTCCACATGTGTAATTCCCTTCACAAGAGCTAGGTTTTAAAGCCATCCATAAAAGAAGGATAATCTGAGGGAAGTCATGGTGATAGTAGGAAACTAGAGGAGAAAAGGCCTTCAAAATCTATTTTTAGTGTGGGATATCTTCTTGATGACTAATTGATGACTAACATAAAATCCAATGAAAATAGGAAATATGAACTAGAAAAGTAAAAATTAAAATTATAAATATCTTTGTTTTTAATTGATACATAGTAATTGGACATATTTATACAGTGCAGCGTGACATCTCAATGCATGTACATAGGATGTGATGATCAGATCAGGGTCTTTGGTCTATTCCCTGTTCACTTTCTTTCTAGTACTTCATTTGGGATTGTTTGCCCTGAGTTGATCTGGGATAAAAGTGGTAAAAGATAGTACTTTTTAAGTTTAAAAAAATTGTTTTTTATTTATTTGTTCTAATCAGTTATATATAACAGCAGAATGCTCTTCAATTCATTGTGTACAAATGGAGCACAATTTTTCACTTCTCTGGTTGTACTCAGAGTAGGGTCACACCATTCGTGCAATCATACATGTACCTAGGGTAATGATGTCTGTCTCATTCCACCATCTTTCCTATCCCCATGCCCACTCCCCTTCACTCCCTCCCTGGATATGATAGTTCTTTTCAAGAGTCCAGTGTGATGTAGGGGAAGAGCAATGGCTTGGGATTTGGAAGATATTATTTAGTTCTGGAATTCAAGTTAATGTAAACTTGAATGAGCCATTTAGTCTTTCTTGTGTTTTTTAAAAATTTATTTGTATGCTAATAGGGGAGCCTTACAAAGTTTTCTTATCACTATTAGATCACAGACAAGTAAAATATCAAATCTTCTGTTGTAGATTCCTAGAATAAAATCTTCCATTGTAGATGCATGGTGAGAGATATGAATGAGAAGAAACCAAAATCTTTCCAAAGAGGGAAGTAGGAGAAGAGGTGCACACAGTGTGGCAAATGTTTGCTTGACCTCTAAAAACTGAGGTTGGGAAAGAACCACTGAGCTACTGCAGGACTCATTTTCATCAGTTTCAGTTTTAACAGTCGGTGAAACTAAAATTCAGCTGGGAAAGTCCAAGACTCCAGCCAACAAGGAAGAACTGCTGGCAGCTGCCAGCAAAGAACTTCATGAGACCTAGTAATTATCCAGATCATAAAGTTAAAACAGGGAGTAGAGCCAATTCTGTCTGGTAAGTAACCTGAAGTCTTAGTCATAGCACTCGTGTGAAGATGCTTCTGCCTGGCTCTGGTCCTGGGTGTCATGGTAACCATGGGTGTGTGCAGGGCAGACCTTTCCTTTCCCACATCCCCGTATCAGTGCACCAGGGCTTTCTCATCTGTACACCAAAAGACCCTGGTCCTGGGAATCCTGGAAATGGGGTTAAGAGAATTGTCAGCCGCCCAGAATACCAGGGCAGGTCAGGGCAGCAAGCAGGGGATACCAAAGGAGCAGGATCCCAGGTGCTTTGGAACCCACCCTCACTCCTCCCGCCATCCAGAATCTGCCTCTAGCTGAATTCCTGACTTTGTTTTCTGGGGTTGTGTTTGGTGTGGTTGTATCTTTTGTCCCTTGCTTTATGTGAAGAAATGGTGGGAAGAAACAGTGGGAGGACTGGGAAGCAACACAGGCCCTCCCTTTCTGTTCTTGTTTGGATTTGGAATTCCCATCTCATCCCTGTCTTCATTGTATTTTTGCTAAGTGTTTTGAGGTCACTTCCCCCATCAGTCAGAGGCCTTTTGTTTGCACACAGCACGCTTGCTTCAGTTTCCCTATAAGTCACACCTCATGCTCTACATTTCAGTGAAGTTAATTCTTTCTTGGAGACTGGAAAGGAGTAAAAGGTAAATGCAAACCATTTGAAGAGTTAACCGGAATATTTAATTTAGACAGCACATTTATGGTGAGGATCACAATGAACAGGTGCCAAGGTGGACACTGGGAAATGTAGTATACAATCTCTGTTTTCCAGAGCTCATAATTCAACTGGAGAAATAAAAGACCTTTGGGTGAAGAGTTGAAAACCAGGAGAGTTAATAGCATATTAGATGATGCAGGCAGGCTGTGGGTAAAAGTCTAGAGAATGGCATAGAGGTTGCAATGAAACAGTTCAGGAGAACAGGAGAGAATTTTCTGAGGGGCCTACCTGAATCTTGATACAGATAGAATTTCTGTGGCCAGAAAGAATAGCGCCTCCCCTTTGTATGGCACCATACAGCTTACAAAACACCTTGCCCTATTTAATGTTTAAATCATAAGATTTCTAGTCAAGGAAACTGAAGTTCTATCAGTTACATGAAGTGGCGGGTCTTGTTCCCTCGGCCACAGGATTAGAGTTCTTTCCTCTCTAGCTGCTTCTCCCTAGAAGGTGGAAGGATAATGAGTTGGGAGGAGAGTATAGGAACTGGACCACTTCAGACAGGGAAGTCAATCTGTAGTATACCCAAAGTGGAGGTGGGGTTCTCTGTTAGGGAAAAACTGGGCCAAGCCAGGGAGAGTAATTCACCTGCATGATATCTGCTGTCCTCTCAGCTTGGTAGCTTAGGGGCCAGATTTATCCTAAAAAAACGTATTCTTGGTCCTCAGAGTGACTCAAAATGTGTGCATAAGTCGCCCATTTAAAAAATGAGGTAATTCTCTCATACACCCGTGTACCCACACTCAAGATTGCTAGCTGCTCTTGAAATTGGGATCCCTGGCAATAATGAACACTCATTTTATAAGCACTTTAAGCTGGAACTGTGTAGCAACTACCTCTTTAGATGGGATAGTTGCTGTGCAGTTCTCTCAGGCTCCTCAGGGCTTGGTCCCTGTGATGCAGATGGTGATCCTGTGGGGAAATATAGTCTTTGTTGCACTTGAACATTTACTACGTTTAAGTATTCTTTTTATTTATTTATTTATTTTGTGGTGGGGATTAGAACCCAGGGTCTTGTGCATGCAAGGCAAGTATTCAACCTACTGAACTATATCCCCAGTCCTTCTTTTAGATATTTGAGAGGGAGCTATGATGGGGTAGAAAGGGGCAGAAGGCCTGGACTCAAGTTCTGCTCTGCCTTATATTGCTTGTAGGATTTAGCTAAATCATTTAATCTCTCCCAGTTTGAGTTTCATGACCTTTTAATTGGGCATAATCATACCCACTTCCAGAGAGATTGAGAAGTGAGGAAATAAAACTGTAAGGGCTACCTATATTGTTTTAATGGCTATTTTTGGAAGTATTCAGTATGAGATGCCAAAGTACAGAGCATTGGTTCTGTGAGGTATACCTCAAAATGATTTTGGAATCTTTGAATTGAAATGTCACCAGCATTATTTGGGAAATGGCTTTAGTGAGTCTCATGTAACTTTCATTATGTCATGAACAAAGGGGAGGGGATGACAAACAGGCTGTCCCTGCCGCATAATCTCAGCCTCTTTTGCTTAGGTTGCTATTTGAATATGTTTTATGTGTGTGCATATGTATTTTTAAAAAAATATTTCTATATGTAGATATATCAGGGAGAGGATCAGAATCGAAAAGGACTGGGATACTTTCTGAAATCCACCTTCAAGGTAGGACAGTATTTTAGAAAATCAAAACTTGGTCAACAGGGA